CCCTGAGCCCCAGCTGGGCAGGGAGGGAGGGAGGGACTGGTTTGGAGGTTGGTTTGGGGCTCCGGGTGCAGCTGAGCCCGGAGCCGTCCCCACCTTGCCAGCAGCAGCTCCAGTGAGCCCCGGGGTGCTGGGGGTGGCCAGGCCATGGGGCCAGGCCATGGGGGGCAGGTCTGGGGGGGCAGTTGGGCCGGGGCATCTCCAACTGCCCTGGATGTGGAACTGGAACAACGGCCAGAACGGCTGCTGGAGCCCTGGCAGGTGAGTGGGGAAGGGGCAGCGCCCCCTGAGCTGGGCCCACAGGGGGCCTGGGGGGTCTGGGCTGTCCCGTGGGGAGTGGATCCCTTCGGGAAGAGCGGGGCATTGCCGGGGGCTGCTCTGGACTGGCCCGGCAGGGAGCAGGGGCTCCTGGCTCCACATCTCCTCCCATCAATGAGCAGGGAGCCGCTTCTCACTGCACTCCCAGCGCCCCAGTTTGCAGCCCAGAGACCACAATGGGTCCCTCCCTGTCCCCTCCCTGTCCCCTCCCTGTCCCCTCCCTGTCCCCTCCCCGATGAGGAGCCCACAGGAAGGATCAGAGGGTGCTCAGGGGGCTGGAGCAACCCCTGCTATGGGAGAGGCTGTGAGAGCCGGGACCACTCTGCCTGAAGAAGGCTCGGGAGGGACCTCAGAGCTCCCCCAGCCCCTGAAGGGACTCAGGGAGAGCTGGGGAGGGACCTGGGACAAGAACCTGCAGGGACAGCACACGGGGAATGGCTTCCACCTGACACAGGGCAGGGTTCGGTTGGATATTGGGAAGAAATTCCTCCCTGAGGGGAAATGGTGAGGAGGAGCCGGCACAGGTTGCCCACAGCGAACAGAGGTTGCCCACAGCGAACAGAGGTTGCCCACAGCGAACAGAGGTTGCCCACAGCGAACAGAGGTTGCCCACAGCAAACAGAGGTTGCCCACAGCGAACAGAGGTTGCCCTGGAAGTGTTGGAGGCCAGGCTGGATGGGGCTCTGAACAAATTCCCTTCTAGCGTTCTTCTCAAGTAAGACACTTCCCTGCAGGTTGCTCGTTCTGTTTTCAAACTCCGGGGTTGAAAGGACTCCCAAGGAGGGGAGAAGGAGCTGAGCTGGAATTCCTGAGCTGGGCGAACATTTAGGACCCAGATCCCGAGGGACAGCCGTGCAATCCTGAGGGTGCTCAGCCCCGTGCTCCTGCAGGCGGCCCAGGAGCTTGGTCGGAGGCAGCAGCTCCCTTCTCAGATGTTTCCTCTGCAGGAACCTCCCTCGGCAGCCCCTGAGGTGAGTGCAGCTGGGCTGAAATTCTGAAATGGGACTCAGGGAAGGGAACTGCAGGAACCCTGCAAGTTCTTGGCCGTGGCTTCCCTGTCTGTTCTGAGTGGGGTTCATTTCTCTGTGCCTGGTTTCTGGTTCCCCATTTTACCCCCAAAGAGACTTCTCTCCTCTGCTCCATCAGTTTAACAACAGCTTTGACAGTGAACATGAGCAGACAGAACAGGATCTCTGATGCTGCTATTTAATTTCTTTGTATCACAGCAACACGTCCTAAGCACAAGCAATGTGCCCAGAGTAGAAATAGATTTCATGTGTTTAAGCAGATTTGGAAACTGGTTCTCCATGAACGAACACCCATTCTTGTCAGGATCAGAGGAGGCAGCTCCGAGGGTACTTTGGGATAGGACAGGGTACCCACCCTCCTCTTAGCAGCATAAAGCAGAGAAGCAACATTAGATCTCCACTCTGGAGTATTTTTTTAGACATTTATATAAATAAATATTTTTATATAAATACATTTTAAAGACATTTTTATAAAGACTTTTTCCCCCCCCCAGAACTTGCACTTTATTTAATTATGTTTTCTTTTCTTAATTCAATTTAATTTAATAATATGTTCCAAATCTCTTTATCCCAATGCATCCAGTAAAGTCAAAAGAATGGAAGGCAACTAATTTTAACATCTTGTCCCTTCACGTCATCTTGTTTGGTGCTCAAATCCCTGCTAAAGCATTTTCAGAAATCACTTCTGGAAACAAAACAAAGCTCTCCTGGGACAAAGGCAAGCTGTGACAAGCACAAGGGGGAATGGCTTGAAGCTGAGAGAGGTTTAGAGTGGGCATTAGGAAGGAGCTCCTGGCTGGCACAGGGTGCCCGGGGAAGCCAGGCTGGACATTGGGACAGTGGGAGGAGTCCCTGCCATGGCAGCGAGCTGGAATGAGACGATCCTTGACATCCCTTCCAGCTGCCAGGAAAATTAATCCACAAACGCCACAGGTTTATGTCCAAAAAGGAGACAGAGGAGTCATTTTTGCTTTATTTGAATAAAGGGAGAGGCCGTGGGACATTCCCCTGGGATCTCTCCAATTTTTGGAGGACGCAGCCTCCTTTTTATCCTATTTTCCCGTCCGCATTTCCCTCTCTCTTTCCCCATTGGCTGAGGTACTTGAGAGGCACAGACTTCCCGGAACGCCTGATACCTGAAATTCCCCTCTAATGTATAACCTTCCCTTTTAATTTTTAATTCTTACAGAATTCATAGTTTTCCCCCCGTTGCTTCTTTCATCTTTCAATATCCAGTTTCATTTATCAGCAGCCTTGCAGTTTGTTTGTAAAGGCAAATATAATATATTTGCCTATATTTTGATATTCATCAATCGGCGGAATCTTTCCCATTGTTTCTTTTCTCTCTCAGCGCTGGTTTGATCTACCAGCTGTAAAGACAAACCCAAACCATTCCGGGACTCTGAAACGCCTCCAAACCCCACGGTTCCCCCGCTCAGCTCCCGCTCCCTCTCTCGCAGGAGCGGCAGGAGGCGAAAGAAGGCAAAGCACGGCCCCGGAGCGGCCGTAAGAAAGCGAGAAGCCGCGGCGATGTGCCGGGGGCAGGAGCCGGGAGCGGAGCGGGGCCGCTGCCGAGCGCTGCGCTCCGCATTCCCCTCCCCAGGCTCGGCCAAATCGAGGAGCAGCTCATCCGCGCTGACGAGGCGGCCGCTGAGTTCGAGTCTGGCGAGCCGGGGCCAGCAGCAGGGCCAGCAGCAGGGCCAGCAGCAGGGCCAGCAGCAGGGCCAGCAGCAGGGCCAGCCCCAGCCCCCGGGGACAGCCGCGGGCTCGGCGCTGCCGCTGCGCTCCGGGCGGCGCTGCGGGAAGGGAGCGCTCGGTGCCGCCAGCGAGACTTCGCTGCGGCCGCCGCCAAATTCTGCACGGCTCTGGAGGTACGGGGTTTGTCCTGGTTTAGGATGAATTTGGGAGGGAACCTCTGGATGA